TGTGGGATGGCTCAAGTGAAGGAGGGAAAATGAGCGGGGACAAGTAACACTAGTGGCCTCTTGAAAAGCCAAAAACTCACTATTATGGAAGTCTCTAAAGTGAACGTATACGTGGAAGGAATTTCAACTCCATTAAATGCAGTTATCATATAACGGGGGAGAGAATGACCCAACTAGACATCTTATGCCACCAAGTAAAACTCCCCCAGTGCCAGGAATGCTATAATTCTTGTTGAGCTGTTGGCCAAAGGGGCCTCAAACAGCTCCCCAAACATCACAGACTATTGCCAAGGTTTTTTGGTTATCCTCCACAACTTGATGATAAGGCCCTGTTGATGAAGACCCTACTTACTTATATCATCAAACACAGAGAAGGCGAGCTGGTACCGAGACAGATGTTTCATTGCTACTGACAAGCATTCAAGGTGCTAGAAAACACTCTGCATGCTACCCAAGAAAAGTCATCATCAATATCACTCAGCTACAAACCCAATGACTTACGACAGCAAACTGCCTGCAAAATATACTGGTATACTAGTGGTACAAATGTTATGGGATAAGCAACCAGCTTTTGAATTGGGATTGAAGACCTGCTACGTGAGATGGAACCCATTCCTGACACTGCTGAAGTGACTAAGAACCTGAGTCTAGGTAGGCTGTGGGCCTTAGAGGAAATCCAACTATTATAATTCTGTCAAAGGAACGTGGCAACAAAGTGACTCCCAATAGCATATCACTATACCCATAGATCTGTGCCTTTCTCAGCCCTCATCACAGAAGCTTCTTGCAGTAAATGGTAATTAACACAGAAACCCACAAATAGACAAGGTGCTGATAGGAAGAGACTTTGGTGCATTCAAGCCTAAATAGGATGTCTTTATCAAAGCGCTCCTATCAAGGATTAGGGATCTACATGGAAGAGAGGGAGGAAAGAGTGTAAGAGCCAGAGGTGGTAGTTCTTACAAGGAAAGAGCGTCTTCCAGACACAGCAGGGACGATGCGATATGAACTGGAAGAGACTGTGACAGCATGCACAGGACCTGCATAGGTTCAAACCAGACAAAATCCTAGCACTGAGAAGGGCAAGTGAGCACAAAGTCCCACCCCAGGCCAAGAAGTCGTTTGCGACTAATACCTCCTGCGAAAGGAAAAAATTTTCTCTAATGAAGTGTCACTGAGAATATCAACCACACTCCAGGGAACAATGCCCCACGCACAGAAGCAGTTGGCCAACACAAAATCGACTCCATGTTTTTTGTGTGCTTTTTGTTTTGATATTTTTTATCCTGTTGGCTTTGGAGGTACTTATTTGCTTTTATTTTTGTTCTTTTGGGTTTTTTTTTATTTTTTTAGAGAGAGAAATATGAAGCTGGGCAGATAGAGAGGTGGGAATAATATGGGAGGAGTTGAGGGATGAGAAAGAATATGATTAAAATATATTGTATGAAAAAAATTCTAAATAAATATAGAACAGATAGTATGTTGTGGTGAGGTTTAATCAATTATAATCCTCTGGAATTTCTTGTGGGCATATTGACTTCTGACTAGGAGGCATCATTCAAATGTTGAGGAGATGATAATTCTTATAGGAGCCAAGAATCATTACAGATTGTGGTCAAAGGAGACACACCCACATTCTGCGGACCGTGAGTCCCCCCAGTTTAACCATTTAAGGAAAGACTTGACCGTGTTCAGGCTCCCTAGACTACATAGACACTTACTTTTTTTAAAACACAATGAGGAGACATTTACTTTAAGCCCTGTTGCCTAGAATTCATTATTATCTTCTGTAAAGGATGATAAATCTGTACAGAACATATAAGGGGCTTGTTTGTGGGCATTATTAGCTAGTTTGAGGATTCATCTTTTAAACAAGATTTATTTTTACCTTTAATATATGTGTCTCTGTTGGAGTATGTGCACATGAGTACAGTTGTCTGCACAGACCAGAGAAGGCGTTGGATCTCCTGGAGCTAGAGTTACAGGTAGTTGTGAGTCACCCAATATGGAAACGAAATTCCAGTCCTAGACAAGAGTAGTATGCATTCTTAATTGCTGAGCTATCTCTCCAGCCCATCAAATTTTGGAGTTAAGGGAGATGCATGAAGTAAGCTCTGTATTCCCTGGGATGTTCTCCTGGGGTCACTTCCTAACAGTGGCACGCCACAGAAAAGAACTCAAAGCGTGTGCCGGTCCTTCTCAATGTAGGAAACAAAGATTAAAGCTTAGGGACACTGTCCTTGTTTACTTTCTATTGTTATGACAAAAAATTCTGACCAAAAGTAACCTGGGGAGGGAAAGGTTTATTTGGCTCACAGTTCCATGTCACAGTCCATCACTGAGAGAAGTCAGGCAAGAGACTCAAGAAGAAACTGGTGGAGGGAACTGAAAATGAGACAGTAGAAGAATGCTGTTACTGGCCTGCTTCCCACTGCTTTTATATACTCAGGACCATCTGCCCAGTGTTTCCACAGTGGGCTGGGCCCTCCCACACCAATCATTAATAAAGGAAATGCTCCCTAAAGATTTGTCCACCAGCTAATCTGATGGAGGCCATTTCTCACTTGAAGTTCCCTCTTCCCAGGTGACTCTAGCTCGTGTCAAGTTGACAAACAGTAACCTTCACAAGAACAAATGCAAATGGAGATTTCATGGCAGAACATGGGAAAGGATAGAAGCCATGGGTTAGGCAAATGAGGAGAGCACTAAGAAATGAGTGTAGTGGGGCTTGCTCTAAGACAGCAACCAAGGACTGGGGTGTAAATGTCCTGATCATACTCCCTAAGGCCTTGTGCAGGAAAGAAAACCATTAAGTCAAAGAATGGAATGGAAACTTATGGCTGCAAAGCCTGGGAGACATTGGGTCTCTGTCCCATCTAGAAGAGAAAGATACTGTTAACGTCCTAAGCCTACAAGAGAACACCAAAAGAAGCCACTACTTAGGAATAAGATGCAATGCCTAGGATCAGCTTACTGGGGCCCATTTCCTGATCATCTGTTTTTATAAATTATATTTTGCTGGTGCACAAGCATGCCTATTTGCTTACAGATTTCTATGGTTGTTGTCATGTTACAGTGAAAGAACTGAATAGTCCAATAGAGAAAAATCCATCTAGAGGCCTAAAATATTTACCACTGTGCCCTTGAAGAACAGTTGGGAAAACTGTGACCTAAAGTAAACATTATTCCAGAGCATCACAACTGAACCTAAGACAAAAGTTCAAAGGTCGCAAGGAGAATCAGTGACATGCTCTGTCTCCCAGGATAGAACATCCCTTGAGGAAAGACAGTCAACTCTGGACATCTTACCATTCATCACACTATAAACCGGGCAATCAGAAAACAATCAACATGTACAAGGCATGATGGCACATGCTTATAATCTTAACACCCAAGAGGGTGAAGTAGGAGGATCACAGTTTATGGCCAGCCTAGGCTACATAGAAGCCTCTGCCTTAGATAAGCAAAAAAATTAAGAATTCACAGAAGGAAAATATGACCCATCATCACTCACAGGAGGAAACAGACGCTATAAACAAGCCCAGGATCTCCCATGTGAAGGAAATTGTGGGCATCAGCTTTAAAGGAGATTTACAGTCGTTGTCTCCATTTGTCAAGACCTTGGATGAATATGGGAGTTTTAATAAACAGTTACCAGAATGTTGTCAGGGAAACAGAAGTCACAAGAAACAACTGGACTTCCAGAGTTGGGGAAAAAAAAAAAAAAAAGATCATGGAGAACTGGAGAGTTGTGATGTAATAGAAGACTGTGTTAGGAAGAGAAAGAAAGAGGGGAGGAAGGAAAGAGAGAGAAAGAGAGAGAGAGAGAGAGAGAGAGAGAGAGAGAGAGAGAGAGAGAGAGAGAGAGACTTTAAACAAAGATGAATAAGATCCAAATTGAAGAACTAAAGAAACAAAGGAAGACGGTTAAGAAAACAGGCGGGACTGGACAGAGGCTCAGCAGTTAACAGCAGAGGGCCAGGGTTCAGTACCCAGCACTCATGTGCTAGCTCACAAGCACCTGGAACTTGCAGGGACTCACACAGCCTCTTCTGGCCTCCACAGGCACTTCATACATGTGGTATACTTACACACATGCAGGCAAACATTAACATATATAAAATACAAATAAATAATTTTTTTAAAAGAAAAGAAAAACAGAACCTTAATGACTTATGGGAAAACTTCAAGGAATTCAAAAACGGTATCTTGAAAGGAGAACACCGCAGAGGAATCATGAAAAATAGTGAAGAAAAAAATGCACAAAGGTCAGATGTGGTTGCACACATCTGTCAGCCCAGCATTTGGAAGGTAGAGCCAGGAGGATAAAAGTTCAAGGCCAGCTTTGGTTACACTGCAAGTTCAAAGGCAGCCTGGCTACACAAGAATCCATCTCAAAAAAAAAAAAAAATGTTCAAGTATTTTTCCATCTTGGTGAAAAATATCCATCTACGTGCTGAGGGAGCTGAGAAAACAACCTAACTACAATCCATAACAAATTTTGCCATAAGCCAGATTAGTGAAGAAAATTAACAAGTGACCAAGCTCCTATAATGAAATTATTTTAGATATGATCGACGCTTGCAGGATAAACAGATAAGGGAAATAATGACCAGACAGATATCCCCATTTTAGTATTTCCAATGTCTAAATTAAGCTCAAGTTTGGCGTGAACAGCCCTTGAGTCATCTCCAACAGTGGCAGCCAGCAAATGAAAACAAAAAGACAGAAGCTACATGAAACCCCTTAATGGGATTTGCCCAGAAAACTTGGCATTTCAGAAAGCAACCCAGTCAAGGGCTTCTGCACTCCATTCCAGTAGACCAAAACCAGTATCTCTCAGACATATCACATGAACGATAACGTCTTTGCCATTCTTTAGCCTTAATTTAATTGTAAAGAAATGTGGGATCATGTTCTGTTCCAGGCAGAGGGGAATAATCAGAGTGTTACTCCATCCAATAAAAACAACTCAACATGAAGGTTAAAAGTCTGAATACCTCCATTTTCTCAAGTCTTCTCTCTCCCTTTCTCTCTCTGTTTAAGGATCTGGCATTAATCAAACTTTACTCCCAAAGCAGGCCAGTCTTGCTTCTCCTGTTGGAGTTAAGTCTCTGGGGGCAGAAGGGATATAAAGAACACAAGATTCAGTAGCAATGATCATATCAGACAATTCCAGCATCACCTCCTGGGATACCGGCTATGGAATGAGTTGTGACCTAAAGAGAAAAAGAGTTGCAATCAAATGTTACAGAATTCTGAAGCCACGTGTCTAGATACACAGCTCTGAGTATTCAGGTCAGGACCCCCTGACTTTGAAGTCCACTGGATCTGGGCATCCTCCAGCAGGATGGTTCTGTAGGCGATCTGGAAGAAAGCACTCCATCGGCCACTTGCAAGGCCACCGCTCGACACAGCACACATCCATCTGCATTGCTCCTGAGAGCCATCCTCTCTACCACCCCAGGCTGTCCTGTACCACTTCATTTCTTTACCTGTAATCCGAAAATGATAAAGAATAGTTTAATAAATCATGAGCTTTTCTCCTTGGGAAGGACTGATGCTCCCTTCTACGGTGGCCTCCACATACCATGAATAGACTCAAGTAAACCTATCCCAGAAAGCTAAGGGATTCAAATCAAAATGAGCAACTGGGAACGGAGGAAGGCGAGCGCTAAGTGCTCAGGAAATCGTTGATCTGGTCAGTTCACCAATGCAGAAACAGCAACAATGTACCTGAAGGAGATCTGCCTCTCAGGACGGAGGGCAGGGTGGCAGAGAACCAGGAAAAGGGCAGTCTGGGTACGAGACCCCCTGTGGTTGGTCAGGTTCCGTTGCTGAGACTCAGGAAACCCTGAACTATTTCTGCTGGAAATTAAACCAAGATTTGAAACTAATGAGGGGCTCGTGTATAGGAGAATATTGGACAGCATGTGCAGCTAATTATTTCATCTAGAGGGGCCAAGGGGACCTTGGGACATTCCCATACAGCCTGTAAACTAGGGAAATTAATTCTAAGCTTGGAGGAAAAAATTAAGATACCACCATAAAAGCACAGAGATTCAATCGTTTCTCCTCACCTTCTGAGAAGGTTACGCTAAGGTCAGGAATGTTCGGTCACAATTAATGTCAATCTGGCCCCATTGTAAATATTTGGCTGGGAACAAAAGGGTTGCTGTCACCTGGCCAATCCCAGACTCCTCAATATATTTCGTCTAGGAATTCAGCGCGCTTGGGTGCAATTTCACTTTCATGAGGACATTCTTTCCCAAGGAGAGGGAGAGAGGCAGCATGTGTTATCAGGAACTGTGCTATCTAGCATTCAAGTGCCAAGGTTTAGACATTTCCATAACGTACAGAGTCCATTTGCTTATAGGGAACGGTGGGGAGATGGGAGCTGTGGGGGTTGGAAGGTGAAGGATGTCAAAGATAAGGGGAATCAGAATTGCTTTGAAGGAAGGCCACGTCAGGTGTTAGCTTTAAAATAAGCAGTGTTTCTCAGGACAAAAAAAAAAGTGCAAAATCAAGTCATTATCCTGGCTGGTTGTTGTGAAATCAACCTGAGCCTTACCATGAGGTGTGGGAATTAAAGACAAAACCCAAACATGAAAATTCTGGGTTCCATCTTCAAGCCGCTTTGTTGAGTGCAGGCACCTGTCTTGCCCTAGTTGCAAACACTGGTATCAGTCAGTTTCATTAAATGTCTATTTTATTTTCTTTTATTAACTTTTTTAAATCTAATTTTTTTTTTACAGGCTCAGACACGTAGACATATATTGTGAACATATTCATTCTACTCGTTTCTTCTTCCCAACATGGCTTGCTCCTACTTTTATGCCGTGTGTGTGTGTGTGTGTGTGTGTGTGTGTGTGTATGTGTGTGTATGCATGTGTGTGCATATATGTGTATATGTGTGTGTGTGTGCATGCGTGTGTATGCATGTGTGTGCATGTGTGTGCGCATGTGTGCGTGTGCATGCATGCATGTGTGCGTGCGTGCGTGTGTGTGTGTGTGTGTGTGTGTGTGTGTGTGCGCACGCACGCAGATCTTTTTATGACAGGGTTTCTTGAATTTCTGATCCTTCTCTCTCTACCACCTGGGTGCTGGGATGGCAAGTGTACCCTCATGCTGGGTTTATATGGTACTAGAGATCAAATCCAGGGATTTGGGCACGCTAAATGGGTCCTTTCCACACCGAACTATATTCCCTCCCTTTATCTGCTTTATAAAGCATCAGACATCTGGCAATATGGATATTTTTTATTTGCTTTATAAATAACCACTAACATGAAAAAAAAGCCTAAAGCAGACAAAGATAGGTGACAATGCACCAAATATTCAACAATTTTTAATTTTTTATTAATTTTTTGAGAACTTCACATCATGTATTTTGATCATATTCACCCCCTTTCCTGACTCTTCCCAGGTCCACTCGCACCACCTACCTTACCCACCCAAGTTCATGTTCTCCCTCCCTCCCCCCTCTCCCTTTTCCTCTCCCTCTCTTCTTTAACCCATCAAGTCCATTGGTGTGGCCCAAACACTCTTGAGTCCAAGTTCGTCCCCGAGAGCACAGTTGACCTACAATAAGGTAACACCCTTAAAGAAAGCTGTCTCCCAGCAGCTATCAAAAGCTAACAACTCCTCGGCTAGGGGTGTGATGCCGTACCTCCCTGTCCACACTGGGATGTTTGTCTGGCTTGAGCTCGCACAGGCCTGGTGCTTGCTGTTACAGCCTCTGTGAGTTCACGTATACAGCTTCCTCTTTTTGTGACTGAAGAGTGCTGTCTCGCTGCAACCGTCCACTACCTTTGGCTCTTCCGCTCTTTCTGCCTCCTCTTCCATGGTGATATGCGTACCTTGGGGAGGGGTGTGAAAGAATAAGAGACTTCAGAGTGGTCAGCTCTAAGTGGACAGTGCCGTCAGCAAACACTTTAAAGGGGAAAATGAATGTACAACATGCCATGTGCAGATGGAGTAGTGAATGTCTAGACAGCTGGTATTAAAAATCAGTCAACATGGTATCATTGACAATGGGCTGCCAAGAGCCAAGCTGAGAAACATTTTCTATTGAAAAAAGAAAATAAGTATTTAGTTTGTTATGGACCCTGTAGTAACATTTCAAACAAATTCTGCCAATGTAGTTACCGCTCACCAGAGACGAGATGGTAAATGAATGACTGTAGCCACGTTCAAATGATAATCTATGAAGGATGAAATTGGAACAATCATATCACTTCTACATGTCATAAAGATGTTTGCTCTGGCCATTAAAAAAATACAAAAACAATAGCCTGGCATGCAAAGACATGTATGTAATCCCAACATTTGGAAGACTGAGGCAGGAGGATTGCTAGGAGTTAAAGGAAAGTCTGGGCCTAATACATAGTGTTTCAAAACAACAGTCAGAAAGGTCGGCAAGATGGCTCAGCAGGTAAAGATAACTGCTGCCAGGGCTGAATATTGAGTTTCATCCCCGACTCCTATGAGATAGGAAAGAGCAGATTCCTCCAAACATGTACTGTGGCATGCACACGGCCCCCTATACACACACACATATATATATACATATGCACACATAAACATATATGCCATTCTTAGCTTGAGGTTGGACAAAAACAGGCTCTGGGGCCAGTTGTGTATAAAACCTTAGTTTTTCAGGAATAGAGAGATGAAGTTGCTGTTCCTGGAGCCATCAGCCATGAGGTATCCTGTCACAGCTAGGACTGTCCACTTTCTGTCTACCTCACTCATTTAACATCAGCTAAATTCCAATTAGGAACCCTCGGTTTTTGAACATGCAGACCACAGGGAGCAACTATGTATGAGTAACTGACTCCGCTGTAATGCATTAGGCATTTGCACTTTGGGGTGCACCTGTCACTGTAAAGGAAAACCCTGCCATCCTTAAAGGCCATCGCTGCCCCTGCGATGAGAATATCTGATTTCCAGAATAATGTAAATCCCCGCTTTTCCTGCCAGAACTTCATGTACATCATGTTAACATCAGGTTTATATTAAACATTTACATTAAAGATTGGACTGGAAGATTAAATTGTTTGCATATGCTACAGCCACTGAGTGAAGAGCCCTGCCAACTCTGTGCACGTATGGTTCTGGGTACCTGAAAAATAACAATCAGACAGGAACCATCAGAACAATCAAAAACTGAGCTCTCAGAGAGGTGAGTGAGGCCCAATTCAGGGTCCACATAGACGATAAGAAGCCCAGGTTTATTCATCCTGTGTCCTTGTAGTGTAGCAATGTCTCTGAATTAAAACACTCTATCTAGAAAGAAAGCTCTCTATAAGACTCAGGAAGTCAACAACTTACAAGTCTCAGGATGTCCCTAAAATTTACCAGATATAAAAAGCCCCTCCTTCTTCAAGGTTATATAAGCAATAAGGACAGCTGAGGAGAAGAGACTTGCTGAAATGCCTGCAAGACACACAGAGAGCTCCAGGTTTCCAGCTTTCTTGAGTTGTCATGTATGCTGGGGTAGGCTTTCAGAGATGCAGCTGTCCTTGAGTCATCCACACTCCTTTACATAGCCCCTCCCCTGTGCTCTTTTAAGTAACCGTAACAAACTCACTGATTCACCAAGTTGGACTGCAGTGGTATGGTTATTTTGGTCTGTTTAGGGTCCCTCTCTGGGGTGACTAGATATTTATTCACATCTCATCAGGAACAATATCACATGATATTCCTTCAATTTTCAGGCAAGCATGCATTAGTCTGTCATCCCACATCCCCTCATGGAGAAATTTCTCACACCAGGGATTATTGCTTCTACTCAATACTTAGAACTAGGGCCTTTCCCCTAGTACCAGCATTTCTGTCCACACACAGTTGCTAACATTTTGTCCTTTTGAGTTACTTATGTCACAGCAAAGCTTGATGCTACAGAGTTGGGAACACCTGGCTATGGAGGCTACATATTACGCAACAAGGCTGTGTAGGAATGTGGTTCTAAATTAAGTCTCTCAGGAATACCACTGTCCTTCCCCTGTGGAACTCAGAGCCATGGAAAAGAAGCATGCACTTGGGTCTGCAGGCTCCCTTGGATGTCTTAGCCACGCCACAAATACAATGAATTTCCCGGGCCACTGCTAACAAGCACATGGTCTGTGGAAGAAAAAAAATGTTTTTGTGGGGGAGGAAAAACAAAACAAAACACCACCACGGACTCCAAGCGAAGTGGCTGGAGGGGAGCAACGCTGGTCAAGGGTATGATTCATGAGGTCTTGTCTGGGTGTCAGATGTTCAGCATTCGGGCCCATTGCCTCAAATTTAAATCATCTTTTAAAGAAGTGGCGGAGGAGGTGCTGAAAGGCACGGCACTCTGCTCCCTCTCTTGAAAAACAGTGTCTGCCTGCAAACTGCGGCGCAACTTTGCATTTTGGCCAGACACCCCGTGTGGAGCTCTGCTCAAGCTCCGGCTTTTTTTTTTTTTAATGGTCACCCAAAGGCAGGAAGAGCACATAGTATTTTCACAAGCCAAGGAATCCCTCCTGGTGGCATCTGTGAAATAAAAGATGAGAGAGTTAAAAGGCAAGCCTTGCCGTGCTGAGAAACTCTATCGCGAGGCTTTCCTGGTGTCCAGGAAGCCATGGCCTCCTCCTAGGAGTGCTGGACCCCTGGAGCTCTTCCCAGAGACTCAAGGAAGCCTAGTCAGTGGGTGCTTTTATCAGCATCTATTAAGACTGATGCTAATGTTACTACCACACTTTGGATCATTGCCAGGATCTAGAGAGTCTTGTGGAGTCTCCAAGCTGATTGGTTCCCCAACAACCTCCGGATGTCTCTGAAGATTGTAGCTGCCATCCTTCCTCACACACACAAAAAAGGAGTGGGCATCCTTCAGGGATGAGTTCTAAAGATAGGGTGCTCCACAAAATAAGTGTCACAAAAGGAGTATCAGATAATACAACTTAGGAGGGATACCCAGAGAGACAAGATTCATAGAGGAAGGAGTGGTGTGCAGATTGGGACCTAGGAGATGAAACGAGACCAAAGGGCACTGATGTTTGATGGGGACAGTGTTTTGGTGTTACCAGATGAAGAGTTCTAGTGGCTGCATAGCAACATATTCAATATCAATGAAGATAACATTTAGAAGTGATGAAGATGGTACCTTTGTGGTTTGCACTGCCATTTAAAGAAAGACAAGAATGAGACATCAGGTCACATGGACTAGAAAGCACCCAGGTCAAACTCCAAGGACTTTCCCACATGTGGCTTCCAGGGGTTGGTGCTTAGACCCAAGGCTAAAGATGTTCAAGAGTTTTTGACAGGACATTATGCCTTCTATGAGAAGCACAATTCTAGGCAATAGAAATATTGCCCAAAATTCCTTGGGCTTTGGCTGACCCAGCCCTTTAGTAGTAGGGTAGAAGACATTTGAGACTTAGCTGAAAAGTTAAGGCAGTTGTGTTTCCCCAAATTCAAATAGAACACAGCAAGGTGGTTGACTGAAGTTGGAAGGCTGGCTGGGTAGTCCATAGACAGGAGCAGATTAAAAACATCACAGAGAACTAGCTGTGGTGACTAATTTGTTTAGCAGTGCATAGATTTACAAGTATTTTCACAGGTACAAACCATACATTTCTCACAATAAACCTCTGATGAACTGACACTATGGTAGCCTGGGCTATGCCAATTTTGTGGGGAAATAGATATATTGTGTATACACCCTTGTAAGTGTGGGTTAACTGTGCCTGTAAACACTTCTGGATACCATAGGAAGACATGGGTGTCCTGGCCTATCACTCTTTATTTTATTCTTTGGGAAAGGGTCTCTGATTGAACCTGGAGCTGGGCTGACAACCAGCAAACCCCAAACATCCCCCTGTCTCAGTCTCTAAAAATTCTGGGGTTACAATTGTAGGCACAGCCACATCTGGCTTGTCACATGACTACTGAGGATTTGAACTCAGGTCCGTATGCTTGCAGAGCAAGCACTCTTTCTCACTGTGCCAGCTTCCTGGTGTTGCCTTTATACACTGAGGCTTAGAGATATGAGACCAGGGCCAGTTCACTAGTAACTAAAACAGAGTCAGTTCCAACATGGAATTGGGTGCATGTTTTCAGTAGCAGATTGATTGGTTTGTGTTTTATTCAAAATAATATCCTTTGCCTTTTTACTAATACATCAATCAAAGAGGAAAAGAGAGGATGGTACCCTCCTGGTGCCTAGGTGATGGAGGTGGAATTCAAGCCTTGAAATAAGATAAATTGACATCTTTGGGCAAGAGATCACAACCAAACTCAACATCTCTGAATAAATCATTCAAGCTAAGACTTTCTTCTTAATCCCTTTTTTTTTTTTAATTTTGTTTTCATTTTGAGACAGAGTCTCACATTTCCCAAGCTGGCCTCAAACTCACCATGCAATGGAGGCTGGCCTCCATCTCCTCAATACTGAGATTACTGGCATGTCCAGTCATGCCCAGCTTATGTCATGGTGGGGATCAGGCTCATGATTTCATGCATGCTAGGCAGGCACTCTATCAGCTGAGCTATATTTCCAGCCCCTTCAATCTAAAATTGTGTCCAATTTTTAGAAGCACAATATGGCTATATAAGAAATAAAGGCAATCAAAAACATGCCTAGCAATAAAAAAAACTACTGTGATAGTGATTTCTTTTAGTCAACCATTCTGCACGCGCACTGCTGAAATACAAATTCCTTCTCACGGCTCCTCCCCTATCTTGAGTGCAAATACCTCCCCTACAGTGACTAAATAATTGTAAACCAAGTGGGTGAAGCCTGCACCTCTGCTCTGAATCCTTTCTACATAAATATGATAAAATTTCAAAAGGTGCTTCAGGAAATGGCAATCCCTCTCTGCTTTGCTGA